TCCTCAGCCCACTCATCCCATGACCACCCGCGCTAAGGCCGGGATCTTTTTACCCTAAACGAGTCCTAAACCTAAACACCGTTGCTAGCATCTCTCCCATTCCCCCCACCTACCGTAGTGCACTTAAAGATCAAAATTGGTACAATGCTATGTTAGATGAATATAATGCTTTGATTGCTAATAATACATGGGATTTAGTACCTCCCTCCCCTAACCAAAATATTATCTCCGGTAAATGGCTTTTTAGACACAAACTTAGCCCTACAGGTGAACTGTCCAGGTACAAAGCCAGATGGGTTGTTCGAGGATTCAATCAGCGTCATGGCATAGATTATGATGAGACATTCAGCCCGGTGGTCAAATAGGAAACTATTCGGATCATTCTCATTTTAGCCGTATCACGAGGATGGCCAATTCACCAGCTTGATGTCAAGAATGCCTTTCTTCATGGCACTCTCACAGAGACGATATACACGGCCCAACCATCTGGATTTCAGGATCCTGCCCGACCCCACTATGTGTGCAAACTGAACAAGGCGCTCTATGGACTGAAACAAGCACCGCGGTCTTGGTATCAGCGTTTTACTGGCTTTCTTCTCACGATTGGCTTTCGCGGGTGCAAGAGCGACACCTCACTGTTCACTTATGGCCAGGGGTCTCAGATGGCTTTCCTACTTCTATATGTTGATGACATCATTCTCATGGCTTCCTCGCAGGATCTTCTACAGCGGGTCATACAGCGGTTGAAGGGTGAGTTTGCTATGACAGATATGGGGGACCTACGTTTCTTTCTCGGGATCAATGTTCAGCGCACCTCCCGTGGCTTGTTTCTGACACAGACCCAGTTTCTCTATGATATTCTTGATCGAGCGAGCATGCTCAACTGTAAACCGGTTTCCACTCCGGTTGATACACGCGGGAAACTGTCAGCTTCAGGAGGAACACCTGCGCCAGATCCCTCTCTTTATTGCTCCATTGTGGGAGCCCTACAGTACCTCACCTTCACTCGTCCTGACATCACTTATGCCGTGCAGCAGCTCTGTCTCTTCCTACATGATCCACGCACGCCCCATGTCACGGCCATGAAGCGGGTTTTGCGATACCTTCATGGCACACCATCACATGGCATCTCCATCTCCAGATCTCACACACACCAGATGCGGGCCTATTCTGATGCCGATTGGGCCGGCTGCCCTGACACCCGCCGGTCCACTTTCGGCTACTGCATATTCCTTGGCGATAATCTCATTTCCTGGTCTTCTAAGCGCCAGCTCACCACGTCCAGATCCAGTGCCGAGGCAGAATATCGAGCAGTAGCCAACGCCGTAGCCGAAGTCAGCTGGATACGTAATCTTCTCCTCGAGCTCCAGCAACCACTCAGTCAATCCACTCTTGTTTTTTGTGATAATGTGAGTGCAGTCTACCTCTCTGCAAATCCTGTTAAGCATCAGCGCACGAAGCACATCGAGGTTGACATACACTTCGTTAGAGACCGCGTGGCTCTCGGACAGGTCCGCGTACTACATGTCCCTTCGTCTCTCCAGTATGCTGATATCTTCACGAAGGATCTTCCATCCATCATTTTTTCAGAATTCCGGGATTGCTTGGGCGTTCGGCATTCCGCACCAGTGCCGTTGGGAGCATGTTAAATATATTAAGTATATATTTAGTATCTTGTGTATATAGTAGTTTCCATACATGTATAGTCCTTATTAATTAAGGATTCCTAACATAGTAGGTTTCCTATTATAACAAGGACTACTCTACTATATAATATCCCTTGTATTCCCACATTATGATTATCGGAATATATCAATTCTTCATTACGGAGTACTAAATATTACGTAGTATTGTAACCAAATAAAGTCAAATATCAAAACACACCACGAGTATAATAGACATTCAGAGCAGTCATAGAAACCATTTGAAATGAAAAATGGAATATACCAGAGGTTGCTATGAACTATAGTTCAATCCTTGAGCAAATTCAAGAATCTCTCTATGTCATCGGTCTGTGAGATGTCTGTCTACTTCATTCTTCATCGGCTCAAGGTGGAAGGAAGTTTTCTAAAAATCTTTCTATGTCATCGGTCTGTGAGATGTCTGTCTACTTCATTCTTCATCGGCTCAAGGTGGGAGGAAGTTTTCTAAAAATCTAAAAGTTTTCATGTACAAATTTTTTACTCCATATTTTATAATTTAAGTTAAAGTATGTTTGTATTTTATCATCTTCGAACTTAAAGTTTGACCAACGTCGTCTTTTCAAAAGTATTAGACTAAGTATTAAAAATAATACACTTAAAGTGTACTTTTATTACGGAGTACTAACATTTTGGTGATAACTTTTAGTCTGTATATTTTCATT